GCAACTGCATGTTTTTGAGCAGAGCGACTTGGAGATCTCAAAATCGACTGTCGAACTGCCTCCACATTTTCTGGCGTTGTAACGGTCCATTGTCATCCTGATGTTTTTTCACCACACTCCCGGTTGTCCTGAAGTTCTCTACCCACAAAACAATTGATTTCCGGTCGGGAACCAGACCTCTGGGCTCAATTCCGAAGTGAGTACAGAACGCACGCTACACCGCCACATAGGAATGGTTGTTCGAAAAATAGGCTTCGACAGCAAACGCACGCTGCTCACTCGTCCACCTCATGTTTCCTACTGAGGGGTATTAGACAGAAACTTCTGCGACTGCTGCGTTCGCCGAGCCTATCCCCACTTTTCTGCAACCTCCCCTCCCTTCACAAAAAGGAAGTTTCTGTGCCCCACCCTGTATTTGTGAGACTCAGTCAATCAGCGAGCACACATACAAACAGCATGCTGATCTCTGCCTATATTCTTCCTTAAGAAAGGAAAGTATGCTAAGAAATGAATGGCATGTGATGTCAAAATTTTAATTGGCCAACTTAATAGTGAAACTACTGTAGTATGAGGGAGTCAGTAAGTAGGTCAAAAACTGATATAAAACGTAATACATGTGATATTCAGACCTGGGAAAAACTTTTTTTTCGTGACATATCCTTCACAAACATTGACATGCTTGTCCCATTGCTTTACTAGTGCATCAAAACCAACAGCATAAGAAGTCTTTTGACTCTTGTTTCAGCTACTTCCACACCTGGTCGGGCATCATCTGCAATTTTCTAACGTCCTTGAGAAAATTTCTCAACCCAAGTGTGAACCACTTTACATGACAAACACTTCCCACCATAAACAGGATACATTTCATTGTGAATATCCTTTGCGTTGAGTCCTTTTGCCCACAAAGAAACGCAAACATAACGCTGCTCTTCGGTAGTATTATCCTCAAGCATGGTCACCATTCTGGCTATTGAAATTGTCCTTTGAACATATGCATGCGTCTGCTACCTAGATTGTCATGAAGCTGGACTGTGCTGCTACCTAATGATAAACATAGAAAACCCATTACATTCATTACAGCTGTTTTACTTCCATTTGTGACATATTTACTGACTTTTCCTCATATAAGCCATGTTTCATGACTGACCGCTCAGAAACTTTATTTCAGGAAGCTGACTCAGGTCCCATGCTAATATAGGTGCATGCACACACACATACCATTAAAGTGTTATTGCATCATGTAGGATCCTCTGCAATGATGACACTGGAAACTCATTTCAATAGTACATTTTTCTTCTGTGTAACAGGCAGAGTTTCGATTCTACTGGCTGAAGTCAAAGATGGAAGAAATGTCATGTCTTTCGGAGCGCTCAAATGACAATGCTTTTGTTTTTACCTCACTTCCGTATCATGAGTGCAGTGTCTCAACAATGACTAATATCATGGCCTCAGAGAATCTGTTTGGACAAGATGGACCTGCTCTAGATGGGTTACTATTCTATCATTCAGAAGCACATTATGTTCCTGGGCGTACACCATTGGTTGGATGGCTAAAGCCTCATATGATGGCCACTATCCTGAGTATTCCAGTAGCTTCAGTGTATCTTCAGGTTGAGAGGGAGAAGAAACACAGGAGATTCCACAAACATAAGGGCAAATCACAGGTAAATTTTAAAACTGAAGGCAGCTGTTATAGCCAGGGGTCAAAACATAAGGTTTTCAGTGGTGACTGACAAATTCTGGCTGGTGACTATCTCCGAGCTTAGTTTTTTTTAGTTCTGGCAATGTCACCTGACCACCTGTAGCACAGAGGATATGGTGTACCACAGTCAAAGACATTAAAATCACCATAACTGGCGAGACATAATGTTAGCAAGAGATGGAAACTGCATAGTGTTTTGGTTGGAAAATGTGAAGGGAAGAGACCGCTTGGAATATACTAACATATGTGCGAGGATTTTAAGAAAGATTTTAATCCTTTGAAAACCACAAGCCAATTAAATCAGCTTGGAGTACTTGCATCGCAAATACCACAGCCAAACAGATCTGTTTCTTAATCGTTTAGTACATCATTTCTGTTCATAGATGGCACCAAATGTGACATACCGAAGTGCCTTCTTGTCAGTAAACTGTATGAGAACAGGCCACTCCAGTCTTAAAGCAAACTTAAGTAGATTTCACATTGTGTCCACAGCTGAATGTGAATGTGGTGACGGGCTGCAAATGGAGGAACGTACCTTCTGGGACTGTAAACAGTATAAGGGCTGATGGGCAACAATGATGGGCATTCTGTCTGAGAACAGCAAAAAAGAATACCCAAAATTAGTTACAGAGCTCTTAAGGCTAGAAGAAACAAGATTTGTGCAAGGCATCTGTTACTTCATAAACAACATTCCTGTATTTATTTACATTAGACGTGTAAGAAAAGAAGTCAATGTACAAAATAACAGTATACTCTGATTTAAATTAAGATATATATTAGGAATCGCAGGGACATCACTGTAATGGTATAACATGTTTATGAGACTATGCTACAGATGGCCAGATGGACATTGCCCAGACCTTTTTTTGTAGTGACAGTTATTTTTCACAGTAAATGAAAAAGTTTATAAGGAAGAACAAGCTTTCAGGAGATATGTGCCTGTAGTTGTTTGAAGGTCATTTAAGAGCTAGTGTGAGTTTTTCTGTGAAATGGCATTTACTCTCAAGCAGCCTTGGCATTTATAGCAGGTCTGTGGTGGTGCTTTGTAGTTAGAGGGGTTAAAGAAGTAGAACAATAATGTGGACTGGATTGATTTGGCTGACGTAGATACCAGTGATGGGCCTTTGTAAACATGATAATCAACGTTAAGATCCATAATATGCACTTACAGTAATATTCTGACATGCCAGAAGCTTCTCAAGAAGGACTCCACTGTACAGAGTTACTCGGAGGACTGAAAAACAGAAAAGAAACTCTGCATCCAAGGAAGAGCATAAGGACACAAAAAATGAACGTGAAGAAAGAGAAAGAGACAGATAAAACATTTTTCCACTGTACTGAAAACAAACTTGTGCACATGTGCCTATGAATGGAGGATAAATCCATACAGCACTTTGGTTGGAAAGCACCAAAAGATTGGACCACTTGAGAAATGCACACAGAAGGAAGGACAATAAACCTTTTGACTACCAAGCCCCACCATAGAACTGCAAAGGATGCTTTGCAGTAAATGTAGCTGCATAGAAAAATCCACAATACATGTATTTTCACAGATTACCTTCAGACCACAGTAACAGATAGATAAAAGGCCTGAAAATCTTACTAATTGATTCACACTGAGCCAGTCCCTTCAGCCGTAGCAGTTTCAACACAGGTAAGCTAAGCTGATCTAATCAATATAAGGTGGTCATGCAAGGCAAGGTTAAAATTTATCTTAACCTTTAATGTATGGACTTTTAAATTGCCGGCAGCCCTCTGCGGCCAGAATTTAAATGGCCCTAAGTCTTTAACATTGCAGACTTTAAAAAAGGTTAACCTTTAACAGCCGAATGTTATATATATGCAGCAAGCAGCACCCCATGTTGGCCGAATGTTATAATTATATGCGGCAGGACACGTGCTATCTTTGGTAGTGCTGACAGTTTGACCTAGGGTTTCAAACCAAAACAAACCCACATAAGTCATGTCAGTGGTTCATTCCTTAGCTCTGAACAATGAAATCGTTTATCATGGAACTGGTTTCGATACCATTTACGTTTAGATATGACTGTTTATGACCTAGTCAGCCAAATAGAGCCCAGCTTTATTTTGAGAAGTGATGAGGAAATATTCATCGGTGCTTGCAGATGAGTGCTTCCAGAGCCTTCAGGGAAGTGTGACGCATTCAAGGATTGGTTTCCAATGGCAAATTATCAGTTAGGAAGTCAGTGTTGGATTGTCATATATATTTCTTTATCAGTTAAACAGTTAGTGTCAGACTGTCATTATTTCTTTATATGGTATATCATTTTTATTTTGTGTCTCAGAAGTGGTATAAACCCACTGAGCCAGTTATTACTTTGTGAGTAAAAGGCATCTTCGCCACTGTGACTTTCGGTATCAGTGTCGGACTGGCACTCTTTTCGACTAGTATTATAATTAGTTACTATAGGATTCTGACGATGGTGTATAACACACTGATATGTTGGGATTTTTGACCAGTGATTGAGGCTAGCTCTTTCTAAGGGACCCAACTGAATAGGTGTTTTCCTTCACCTGAGGACGGAAACAGATCCAGTTTCCGAAACGTCGTGTTTTTATTTGTTATCTTAAAAACCAGGACGATGGATAAAGTCCAAAATCCCAACATATCAGTGTAGTATTATAATTACTTTGCATCACTATTTTGCGAGTATTACTAACAGGTGAGAGTGTCGCTTTGTCAGTCAACATAATTTATTCGATTTTGCTGGAACCCCCCTTCCCCCAAGATGATTCTTCAATCGCACAAAGCGAATATCATGGTCACTGGCACCTCTCAGGGGAGGCCAAGGGTACCTGAGGCCCCAACTGAGTTGACTGGAGATGAAACATTCACAACACTGGCCAACCAAAGGGAAACAAAGACGTGTGATTCACTAAATAAGAAAAGCAGGAGCACGCTTTTCTATTGCAAAAAGTGTGATGTTGCTCTGTGTGAGGTGAACTGCTTCAAGAAGTTCCACGCACATCAGAGTGTGAGTATTGTAAACTGTGAAGTGACGCAGTTCAAACTCATATACAGTCTGAACAAAATATTATTGTATATAGTGTGATCACCATGATTCAAGGTTGAAGAAAAACAATGGGTAAGTCCTTTGGAATTTCATAACACATATAATAAAGATTATATTTTGCATTTCATGACAAAATAATCACAGTTAATTTTCGTTTGT